TGCCTAAGTCCTTCGGGAGTTTCACAGAAAAACGTTTAGGCTCCTCATCTGGGTAGTGAGTGCCTGGCTCTCACTTCCAGAGTCACTCAGGAGCAGGCATCGCGAGCTGCGCCCTGATACCACTTCCGCGGTCAGGCTCTTGGAGCACTTGTGGTAAAGCAGAGAAATGCAGAACTTCGAGACACACTAGTTCCTTTCTTCTGTTTGGGAAACTCCGGGCTTTGAAGGCTACTCCGAGAAGATCCTGAAAATTCCCCCAGGGCTGAGGGAGGGAGGAGGATAAGGCACAATATTCCTTTGTGAGTTTTTCTCTGGTTCTTCACACTTTCACTCCCGGGTGAGTCTTTTACACTCACCCCCCGCCCCCCGGCCCTCAGGGCTTGAATGGTCTCTGGCAGACATCCTTCAAAGGAGAAGGGGGAGGGATAATACTACAGATAGATGCACCGGCACAAAGCAGCACGTTTTCCCACAAAACCCTGGAGAAGAGGAAGAACCAGAGCTCAGCATTTGGCCGATCATCAAGTGCACGCGGAGCAGCAGTTGAAGCAGCCTTGTGTTCTAACAAGGCTATTCGGACTTAAAGCGAATGCTGGGGGCAGCGCGGGTCACCGACTGTGGGCCAGGGGCAGGGCCGGCCCCACACATCGAGAGGCAAGGAGGCTGAGGAGCCAAGGGTTAGGAAATGTGACCTTGGCGACCCCCAAACGCCCCGCCTCTTTCGTTCGCTGCTCCACCTGCACGCGGTGCGCGCGGAGCCAGCGGCAGAGGCGATGGCTAGCCCGCGCCCTTAGTGTCTTCCATCAGCCACCAAATGGTGGCTTTGTAGACCCTGCAGCTGCTGTAGCAGGAGTGAGGGTGGGGGGACCGTCCCGGCGCCCCAAAGAATCCGCGCAATCCAGACCACTTGTCCGCGGCTCCAGCGCGTCGCTCAGGCCCGCTGCGGGCCGAGCCAGGGTTGGGGTGCGAGGAGGGCAGTTGGGGCAAGGGGTCCAAGAATGAGGGGTCCGGGTTGCGGGCGAGCTCCCCAGAGGTGGAGGTGGTGCGAGGAGCAGAGTGGGGCGCGGAGCTGGGGCCCTTTCCCCGGGGTCGCGAGCCCTGCACCCTGGCCCGAATGGCAATGCGCAGCGCGCTGGCCCGCGTGGTGGACTCGACCTCGGAGCTGGTCAGCCTGGAGCAGACACTGCTGGGCCCCCTTCAGCCAGAGCGGTCCTTCCCCCATCCACCTAAAGGTGAGTCTGGCCTCCAGCATCCCCTGTCCCCCACCTCAGCGCAGCATCTCCCTGCAGGGCGCAGGAGGCTCTTGCAGGTCTCGGCTGCGGGGCTCAGAGACCGGGTGGGGCCGCAGGATACCAAGCGGAGCTGCCCATGGTGTTCCACCCCTCTGAAGAGTGCAGCGGGGAGGTGACACGCCGGAGACTCGACACTTGGGGCAGGGAACTCGGGGCCCATCTTGGGCCTAGGCTGCGTGAGGAACAGTGACCGGCAGGAGGCTTCCCAAGGGCCTCTGGAACTCCTTCCTAGCGCGCATAAATCGGCTTCCTGCTCCAGCTGAAGGCTTTTTCCACAGGTGCAGTTTCTAGGCTTGGAAGACAGAATCCCCTAGTCCCCCTTCCAAATTAATCGCCCTTCCTCCAGAGCCTTAAATATACGTATTAAGTTTCCTCTGCTTTTTTTTTTTATGACGAAATCGCCTACATTAATTTAAAGTTCTTTCAAGCTTATGAATCGCAATTATTTTTGCATAAATACAGTTCCTCGCAGAGCTCAGGGACCTTACAGAGCCCTCCTAAATTCTCATAGAGTCCCGGGTGTTGAAGCGTGAATACTAATGCTAACTTCCTGCTAAATCGTGCAGCTCATATTTGTAGGACGCAGTTTCCCCTTAAGGTACCAAACTAGTTAGCCAGGAAATAAAGCAGCTGCCGTCCAAGGTGAGTGGAATCATAGAAACCTGGGGGTCTGGATTCCAGCATTGGGCTTGCCATTAATCAACTTAATTGGTTTAAGGTCATAAATCACTTTGAGACCTGGCTTTCCAATTTTGACCTGGAACATTGCTTTATTCATTCCCCTTGGGAGTCTATCAGAAGGAAATGGGGGAGGAGTGATGAAGAAAGCTTGGAGTACTTCTCAGGAATTACCATTCTAGCTCTACAAGCCAAAGTTTCGGAGAAAATTGCTATATTAGAATGCATTATACACTGTACAAGACATTTAAAAATCGAATACAATAAAGCATATCATATACCCAAATAAGCATTGTTACTCTATACTCAACCTCCTCTCTGGACAACTGTTGTGTGTGTGTGTGTGTGTGGGAGGGCGAGTTGTCCTATGCATTATAGGGTGCTTAGCAGCATCTCTGGCCTCTACCCACGAGATGCCAGCAACATACACACACCCAACCAAGTATTGCCAAATGTGTGTGTGGCAGGGCGTGGGGGGTAGGGGGGGCGAGGCGGGGCACAACTAGACCACCTCTAGACGTGAAGTCCTACTCCACTCACCTTAGAGTGTTAAATAATAAAGCTGCATTTCACCAATACTCTCAAATGTAAGATGCACCTTTTTTTGTACCTCCGAGAAATAAAAATCTTACCAATTAAATAATGGCATACCTTTGATTTTGAGATAAAACCTAATTTCAGAGATTTTTGAAATGTGAAAAACTGCATCTTAGAATTGATGAAATTGGAAGTATTATATGATGTTAGGAGAATATATAGATTGGCAAAAAAAAAAAAAAAATGTTTGCTCTCCCAGGCGTTAAAGGGAAAAAAAGCACTTCAAAGAACCTGTGTGATCCAAAACCCAGGAGCAATGAAAGGGTCTGGGGCTTGTGGGGAATGAAAATTAGTTCATTATGGCAGAAGGCAAAAAAGGATGCTGGAAAGGTAAGTGGGCTCAGATGGGGAAAGGCCTGTGTGTCATGCCGAGGACCTTAGATTGTCTTGCAGGCAAAAGGTAGCCATTGGAATAATTGAGGCAAGGCCTGGAGTCTAGATAAATCATGGGAGGCAAGGCTGAGATTTGGAGAACAGGTCAGAAGATAATTGTCAGAGGGCCTGACCCAGCTGGTGGCAATGGTGTCTTCTGCTCTGGACTACACATCGTGCCCATTAAGCTTCATGTGGCTGTCACTTCTACTTGGCAATCATTTTAACCCTTTCCGCTTGATTTTTTTGTCCTAAACATTTTCTACCCTCAAGTTTCTTTATCCAAACCTCACCCCTCTCATTCCTTTTTCGAGAAAACTGAGGCCATCTGACTCAAATATCTTCCTTTCTACCTAAAAAATCTCATCTCCGCTCATTTTCTTTTTTGTCTCTAATAAAAAAAATGCTGTTTGATTCGTACCACCCCTCCCCTGCCCCTAAGTAAATTTTTTCTCTTAAGTTCTGGAACAAATTTTTCATCTGCTCCTAGAGCTTTTTCTATCAATTCCCTCCTCTCGTATTTTCTGCTGCCGCCACTCTGCCAATCCTTCTCAGTCTGTAAATGTGCTTGAAGCTTCCTTCACCTACTCAGCCCCTTGAGTCATGTTTCTTTTCTTCCTTGTCATGAGCAAACATGCAGACATCTGGTTGTGTTGCTGCCACTTTCTAGAAGTGTCCAGAGTGCTCATTAGGAACAGAGATCTGCAGCTTTTTTTTTTTTTTTTTACTACTGGCATCTGTTGCTATTCACCTGCAGGAGAGTAATGAGTTTTAGGGCTCCTGAAAACAGCCAGTTTTTTTTTCAGATTTCTGGGAGAGAAGCAGGGAGAAGTTTCTCTGGATGACTTGCCTCCTGGCCAACATCTCAGAATTTTCCCTGGTTTGAGGTTTGGAGGAAAGGTATTATCTTCATTTAGTCTGTAGAGTAATGATTATAAAGCATTTAGACATAAGGACACAGCCTTTCTAGCAGGCTGATTGTGCAGACTTGGCTTCGTTAATACTAGTGTTAATTCAAATTATTTGGAAGAATATTTTTTATATTTTTAAATTAAGAACATGCAGATTAATTTTATAATACCAGAATGGTTTCAGGAGGATTTGTGCTAATGGAAATGACACTTGTGAATCACTTGGAAGTACATGGAAACTTCCTCAACCTCAGTTCTCTTCTCTAGTGTTACTTGCCACAGTAAAGAGGAGGACTCACTTGAACTAAAGCCACATGACAGGTATTAGGAACTCTGAAGTGGAGATAGCACAGCACAGCTATCAGGTCCCACAGGGCATTTCAAACCTACTGTGCCACTTCCTGCTGTAGGCTCTCGGGCTAGGAGCCTTCCTGTACCTCAGTCTCCTCACCCAAAAAGTGGGTTTAGTGATAGTTAACCTTATACGGTTATTGAGATAATGCATATAAGGTCATAGCTGGTGGTTTCCCATAGTAAGTCTCGATATCTTTGAGCTTTTAAAATTATTATTATTGTTATTAATTGTTATTATTACTATTAACAGGTTGATACCTCATGAATTCTTTTTAACTATTATCATGAATTCCATTCTCGATATTGATGGATCTGACCCATGAATTCTTATAAACTTTTCTGGAACCATTGGCAAAGCAAAGTTAAGATGACCCAGAGACTTCCAATAAGCCTCCTCTAACTGGAGGTCAGCTTTAGCCCATGCTCAATGGCTTAGAGATGTCATCATTAAGTAGCTCAATGATCAAACCACTGAGGATGAAGGAAATGGAAATTTCAGGCATGAAGGCAGAGAAACTCTCACCACAATAATAATAGGTATCTTTATAGTATTGTACTTTTTTCTTAATATTCCTTTTTACATGTAGAGATTATCAAACTTACGCAAAAAAAAAAAAAAAAAAAAAAAACCATGAAATGAGTTCTTCATGGTGGATAAGAAGTGGTTAGCAATACTGATTATTGTTAAATTTGGTGGAGAGGATGGAGTTAACCAGCTTGACAAACACTTATTACAGGAGAAAACTGAGGCTCAGGAAAATTTAGGATTTTGCTGAAGATCTCACTACTGGGAAGTGATGGTCCACAATTTAAACATGGTTTTGTGTGATGCTTTCTGCCAAATCACACGGCTAGCTATAGTGGGTATTATCACATTGAAATAAAGTATGTGAGAGTACATAGTTGACAGGACACAGTCATACAGGCCATGCACTGCACACCACTTGGGATGCAACATTGTAGATTAGGTATCCTAGTCAGCTGGGGCTGCCATAACAAAATGGCAGAAATTAAACCACAGACATTCATTTTCTCACTGTTCTGTAGGCTGAGAAGTCCAAGATCAAGGTGCTAGCAAATTTGGTTTCTGGTTTCTGGTGCGAGCTCTCTTCTTTAATTTTGTAGATGGCCACCTCACTGTGTCCTCACATGACCTTTCCTCTGTGCATGTGGAGAGAGAGAGCTCTGGTGTCTCTTCCTCTTCATATAAGGACACCAATCGTATTGGATCATGGCCCCACTCATATAAGCTCATTTAACCTTAATTACCTCCCTAAAGGCCCTATCTACAAATACAGTCGTCACATGGAGGTTAGGTTTTCAACATACAAATTTTGCGGAGACATAATTCAGTTCATAATGCTGGGTGATTTGTGTGCCTCCTTACATGGTGGCCACTTTACATGGGGACAAAAAGCACCAAGTAAATGTCAAAATCATTATCAAACTAGTAATACTAGCAAGGATGCTTTAGGCCCTAGCTACCCAAAAGGAGCATAGAAATGTGCGGGACACCAAAAGGAAGCCAGGCTAGGATGTTACAGCTGCTGAAATAGACCGACTCACAGAGACCATTAACAAGCCAATTATGAAGTCACTGATTGAGTTTTGTCTGTCTTCCTTTGAGAGTTCAAAACATTTATAGTTGCTAAGAGTTCTGTTCTAAAGCAAGTTTCATGGAAACTACGGCTGATGCCAACTGTCGGAGGCAGAACTTTCCTGCCATTGCAGATTAAACTTGCCTGTGAGCTTACCCATTTCAATTAGCTAATTCTGGTACCAAATATTCCATCACTGTTTTTTTTTTTTCCCCCTATAGAGCAAGAGAAGTGGTTTTAAAACTGTTGGCTTTGGTTGCACAGTCATTGTAGTGCTCTTTGCAAACTGCAAGTGTGAATATTGGGTTACTCAGAGGAAGACATTGGTGATGAGTGCTCTTTTGTCTATTACCATTAGTTAGCAAAGCCAAAAACCACCATTACCACCATCACCACCACTGCCACCACCATTACAAAAAGCATCAGTTAG